GGTCAAGTGGGTGGCTATAGATGTATTGGCAGTGTTTTAGTGAACGGATGCGCCAAGCTGGTTCGCCATTACGTTGCCTTGGATCTCGCGATACCCTGGCACCCAGCACACTATGACATGTTGTTTGAGTGCGTAGACTGCATAATAATGTTTAAAAGGAAACAAGGACAGGGTTTTTGGGCTTGTTTAAGTTGTAAGAGCTTTTACCATGCTCAATGAATCTGCGTAAATTACTGCCTTTGGTAGTTTTGATTGTTTGATGTGTTTATGGGCCTCAAGTACCACGTAAGCGTCTGTGGTGAAGTTATATTTATTCGAATGCAGTGAGCTAGCTGCTGGAAAAGATCGGCCAACTGCTGCGTATGACACATATCTGTAAGACTTTGAGACATCTGTAAGAAAGTCGGGACAAATGTATTTGTGTCGAAGCTCAAGGAAGTGTGTGCAGATGTGTGCTACAGGTGCGTGTTTGGTAACATCCACGAAGGACACATCACATTCTCTGACCTGCCATTGCCACGATGGCAGATACATGGCAGGACCTATCAGACACTGTTCAAGAGTGACACTACCGTTTCCTCAGTGAGGCCTCTCACACGAAGCAATAAGGGCTGTCGAACTGAAGGAGGGTTATCATTTAGTGTGGAACTGAATAAGTCATTGACTGTGGAGTGTGAGGGGTGCTTCTTGCCCACGTTCACCTATAGGTAATACGGAAGGGACACGTAAGTTCTATGCAGCCGTAGTGACCTCTCGTTGGATTCTACGTAAAGGTTTTCTACAGGACTAGTGCGAAAAGCGCCGGTAGAAAAAAGATGTCCGAATGATGAAGCGGTTCAAGCATTTTTAGAACGTTTGGTGCTGCTCACTGGTAGATTATTGCCCGGTAATCGAAGGGCGTGCGTATAAGACTTCTATAAAGATTTAACAGGCGTTTTCTTTCACTGCCGCATGATGTTCACAAAAATACCTTCGGTATACTAATAGCTTTGAGGCACTTGTTTTTGAGGTTTTCATGTGAGGTACGAATGTTCATTTCATGTCTGATGTTATGCCTAAAAATTATTTGTGTTCGCTTTCCACAGTCAATCGCTGTCCATGCAGGTGAATGATGGGATCAGGATGGAGACATCTTTCTTGAAAATAAAACGCATGGGCTTTCCTGCGAATTAGGAGTGAATTCATTCTCGTCTGCCCATGTGGTAAATTTATTCGAACCGAGTTCAAACTGCTGCTTGCACGTTGCGAGATTCCTCGATTTAAAGCCAATCTGCACGTCGTCAACATATGTACAATAAAGCATATTGCGTGGAATGTAGGAATGTAAGATGTTCATTTTTATAATAAAAAGTGTGCAACTCAAGGCACCACCTTGCGGCACTCCAGTCTCTTGGACGTATCTTCGTGACAAAACATTCCCCACTCGAACACGAAAAGTACAGTTGGACAAATAGCTTTCTAGTACGCTCTACATATCCGATTACCTCAGACACCTAAATGTGAGAGGTCTCGCAGTATGCCAAAGTGCCATGTGGTGCTTTATGACTTTTCCATACCTAATTATACAGAAAGAAAAAAACTGTTTGTGAGCAAAAGTATTGCGGATTTCTGCCTCGATACTTAACAGGTGGCCAGTGGTGGAACTATTTTCGCAAAAAGCATACTAGTGTGGGTCCAGTAGGTTGTTTGTTTCAAGGAAATGTAGTATTCGGGGGTTTTCTAAAAGCCTCACAAACAACTTGTTAGTGCGATTGGCCTGTAACTCGCTACAGCGGATGGATCACTGCCATTTTTCAGAATTGGAATTACAATCGCCTCTAACTCAGCAGCAGGGACCTCACTGGAAGACAATACGGCTTTATACAGGGAGGCTCAAGTTTGTCGAGTTTCGGGAGGTAAGTTTTTCAACATCTCGTAAACCACGCGGTGAGAACCAGGGGCCGAATCACTTCAGCCGCCCAGTGATGTCTGTAGCTCAGTAAAGCTAAAACACAGGTTGTAAGCCTCATATTTTGTACATTCGCGTTCTAGTTTCTGCTTTTCAATTTTTGTTTTGTACCTTCGAAAGACTTCGCTATAGTGTGACGAGCTGGACACTTGTTCGAAGTGTGCGCCGAGGAAGTTTCCTTGATCTTCCAAGCTGTCACGTTGTATGTTTACGAAACGGAGTGGATATACATGTCTTCCTGCTTCCCTCCTAACCATGTTCCAGACTTTAGCCTCCTGTGTATATAAACTGATGTCTCGCATAAAGTTGGGCGAAGCTTCTCTTCCGGCCTGTCGGTGCATCCTCCTGCCTTGAGACTTTATGTTTTCAAAATTCGTAATATTTTCCGCTGTCGCAGATTCATGAAGCAGCTTCCATGTTTTATATTGCTTTCTACGTGCATTCTGACACTCACTGTTCCACCAAGAGATGCGTCGCCAGGCGGCCAGTCCAGTTTGGGGGATACACTTTCTTGCAGCATCAATAAAAAAGCTCTCAAGAAGTCTGCAGCTGCATCTATACCTAATTCACACGTGTCTGACCGACTAAAGCGAGTAGTTTCTCTAAAATTTGTTCAGTCGGTTTTGTCTGTCTGCCATCTGGTAACCTGTAATCGAGGATCATTGTCAGTTTATGTGCTTATAATATTAGGAAATGGGAAATTCTGAAAAAAATGTTGATCACTTTCCGTTGAAGCAGGGCTACAAGCGATGGAGACACAATTCTGATATCTATGGGTGAGTAGATTTTATTGGCGAGGCGAAAGTAGGTTGGCTCTTTCCTATTCAACCAACACGCAACCAAAGAAAAGAGGAACTGTTCGATAAGGCTACCTCGTGCATCGCAGCGAGAGTCCCCTCATAGACCATTATGTGCATTCAGGTCCCCAACGACCACATAAGGTTCCAGTAGTTCATTTATCAGAGACTGGCATCCGTGTTTCTCGAGACAGTACTGTGGAGGTATGTACACACAGCAGATGATGACAAAATTGTTCGAAATAACTGCTCGAACAGCCACTGCATCAAGGAAGTTTGTAGTGGTAGATGTGTACATGCAACGCTCTGATCAATTATAATGGCCACCCCACCAGATGATGCTACAGCGTCAACCCTGTCTTTTCTGAATATTACATAACGACATAGAAAATTGATGCTTCTGGAATTTAAGTGTGTCTCTTTTGATGAATGTCTGTGTAACAGTTCTTGGATATCGTCGAGGTTTCTAAGCAGTCCTCTGAGATTCCATTTTACAATGTGTGTAGCCATTATGAGTGTACATAAGTGCTTTGTGTACTAAAATAAGTTGCGTGAAGTCGGGAGCCCTTGCCAGGCTCCGTGGTGGATGTTGACCTTCTGCCGAGCTCCTGAGAGCCACGCCTGTCCTTCGGCTTCGAAGACACCGTTGGATTCGCTGTTGTGTCCATCACCTGTGATGAGGTGCTAGATGTCCGCTCGCGGTTCAGCGTGCTGGCAAGAAGTCTTAGGGCAATCTGTCAAATGAGAAGGTCCTGGGGCTCCTAGTTCAGAGGCCCGCAAGTCTTTTGGTGGCAGAAGAGCCTGTGCTACTTCCGCTGAGGGGATGAATGGCGCTGTCACCCGTCCACATTGTGTGGTACGTGCGGACGCCTCGGATATTGGTGGAACTGCCCCTATTCGTGTCACCTCAGCGAACGAAGGACCCAGCAAGGAAAGACGCTCGCCTCCCCAAACGAGATGTTTTTCACTTACTTTGAGTGTATTTCTTTTTCATGTTTCCATGTAGGACATGAGCGAGAGTAATCGGGGTCTCCACTGTCAAAATTTGCGCATTGGGTAGTTTCTTCACAGTTGTCCGCAAGATGTTCTTGCGCACTACACTTAGCACAAGTTTGACGGCTGTGGCCGAATGACTGGCACTTAAAACAACGTCTGGGTTTGGGGATGCAGGGTCAGACCTTTAACTTCAAGTAGCCTGTCTCGACATATTCTGTAACTGTACTTGTGCAAAATGTAAGAATGAGGCGCTTTGTCGAGGTTTCCTTGTTTTCACGCCTGATCCTATTTCTTCGTAAATGCGTTACGTGCTGTTCGTTCCAGTCCTCAAAGAGCTCACTCTCTGTCAGGGTATTCAGGACTTGATCAGATACTACGCATCGGGAACTGTTCAGGGAACGATGTGGTGTGATAGATACGGGTATCGTTGCAAATACGGTGATTGTTGTCATGTTTGCACACACAACGGGCCTTGCTTTGAACATCAAGAACAAGGTCACCACTAGCCATACATGTAACCTGATAACCTGGACCGAGGATACTGCTGAGACATTTTGAAACTACGGACGAAGAGATTCTTCTTGTGTTTTTTCCTTGTGTTTCACAGTCAATCGCATAAAAGCGTATAAAAGTTTGTTTTAGCTTTAATAAGTCATTATGTGCTGCTTCGGTGCCCTTCCTCTTAGGGAGAGGTCGATCAGACAGTATGGGGAGTAAAAAAGAGGCCATAAAGTACATAAAAAATCCGGCAGCCATGGCAGCCGCCCACCTTGGAGCCCAACATGGGGACGCTATAGCACATATATAAAAAGGCATGCCCGCGCCAGCTGTGCAAAGGCAGTATAACCCAATAATATAACCAAGAGGGGGAACATACACAAGGTTAACCAATGCCGCCTGGAGGATGGAAGTAAACAGAAGTGAGGGAATGGCAGTAAAGATTGAGAGAGAGAGAGAGACGAAGATCAGAGGAGAGAGAGGCAGGAAAAGGTGACTGCTGGTTTCCCTTCGGTGGGTCAGCCCAGGGGTGCCGTTTAAGTGAAGCCGGCGCCAAAGAGGTGTGTTGCCTCAGCCGGGGGGCCTTAAATGTTCAATCACTCGGCTTAGGCTGAACCCAGAGTATCCCCTTGTCCGAGGACACGGCTCAGCCACGCACGACGAAGCGTGGGAGCGAGCCGAAACCCCCCCCCCCTCCCGTTAGCTCGAGTCCGTGGTGTCAATACACAGGAAACACCTGCTCGAGAAAACAGATGCCCCTGCGGGTAATTTCCATTTATTGGTGATTTCTTTCTTTTTTTCCACTCTGCAAGTTACAATGAAAATTGGCACAAAGTGAGGAGCTTTTTTATTCAAGATGCAGAGCTTTCCACCAGCTGCTCTCCCAAGAGATCAGAACAGCCTACGGTACTTCGGCACGCTGCTTTGCAGCTATTGAACATTTGCTCAAGTTGAAGATCTTGGTTCATATTAACAGACTTCAAGCCACTTTTCAGCTCTTCAAAACAAGTCTTTGCCATAGAACTTTCCCCATTGGAATTCTTTATTCGAATATCATATTCAGTGTTTGTCCCTGTAGGAAAGACAAATAAAACTTAATTAACAAGCACCTTGTTAACAGGGTTTTCCCTAACTGCGCTGTTGATATTCTTAGCTCCTAGACGGAAAAAATGCAGTTCGCGTCCTCCTAACCTGGTCACCGTTATCGTGCTGCATCTACCCCGCTGACATGGCATAATGAATCAATATTTAGAATTTTTTTTCAAAACGACTGCACTATCTCAGCTGGTCTGCAATGACTCTGTACTAATAATAACAAGAAAAAAAGTTGCGATATCACCTGTGTCTCATTAGGCGATGATAATGTATAAAACTTTTTTCCAGACAGGATGGCCGCGTTGCCAGTAAACTGCTTCCGAAAAAAATATATTGCTTACAGCGTTGTCTGAATATTGTATTTGTTATCAATATTACGTGAATATCTCTAATTGACGATAGTGGAAGTTGCGACACCGCAACAATATTCAACTGGGGCTCACAAAGTGGATATCACAGATTGCCTATTTTAAAGGTGGTAGATTTTTTAAAACAACGTTAGTAGTAAGGTCTTATGAATGTGTTATCTTCTTCTGAGGCGTGAATTTGGATATTGCTTTGTTAATAACTCACTTTAAGGCGAGTCATACAGAGTCAAGCTGGTAAGGATACCGGTAGAGAACAGGCGGTGTACTTTGTTACACATGAACTCAATAATGATTTAAAGTTTGGAAGTGGCGACTGTTTTTGAGTATGAAAAAAAATCTTCCAACCAATAGGATCACAGAAGAAAGTACAACATGGTAGCTTGAAAATGCGTCTGTGTTATCAATAAGCTGTACTGTAATACTAAGCAAAACGTTAGTATGCTGGCGCGCTAAAACGTAGAGCAGCGTGTTTTAGAGCAGATGCCACACTCTGGAGCTTTTCAGACATGCAGAGCCACCTAGTGGATATGTATTGAGTGGCCCAATGTCTTTCTCCCTTTCAGAGTTTGATGTGCAAGCAGGTGCAGTTAGTGAGTGCGAAAAAACGGCTGAGCTTCATATTGCATACATTGCACATTTAACACTCACATGGACAGACATGATCTTTTTTCACTAGCTGTACGCTCAAACAATTTGTCACTAGGTGCTTCCTCAATCGATCCCCAGAATGATGCGAAAGCAAACCTACACGCGTTAGCTCCACGCGCTATGAAAGAAGACAGCAATCGATGCCACTGTTGCATTGCAAAGTCCCAGAGGTTTAACGAACAGCACAACTACCTACAGTTTTAACTATTTCTATAGCTTTCTTATAAAGTAGAAAGCCGAGAGCTCTTGTAACGACCTAATGCGAATGTGTTCGTCAAGTTCGCGTTCTTCACAGTCAGTCGCATGAGAAAGTGTAAACATGTATCTCGGCTGTTAATGTTTGCGTCGCTCTTACAAAGAACCATGATAACATTCAATGCTAAGCACAACGGAGCATCTAACCTATATGCGGGCCGTGTAACACACAGGAAATAGCGACATATATATATCTAATATGTGTGTGACAAACACCATGCACAGCGGCGGCAAGGTGCCATAGCGTCAACTGCTCGTCACCAGACAGCATCACACATGTACGTTTTCATGGCTTAAACATCCCCTTTGATGGAGCAAATGCTAACACGTGCACTACGCAAGTAAACCTCAACATAACGGTTGTGATCACGTTCAGCTTTCTTTTGCTCGTATACTGCACCGTTGTCGTAAATAATCTCACAGGCTATGATTTGGCATTCGTTGCATCCAGCAATAGTGGTCACACAGTGTCTGTGGGACACACAAGTGAAGTGGGTAAATATGAAAGACAACCATCCATGGCCTTATGTCGCTCTTCTGGCGTCGTGGTGTTTTAACAGTGTACTATGTGGATAAAGCGAGCTTTGTACCATGATCGCAAGATACATTTCTGGCTAAATTGATCGTTTTGGTACCTAGTTACCTTAACATTACGTATATAACCAAGTTTCACACATTTAGGTGCTACAGAACGCATCACGGTGTACTTGCTTCGAAATTGACGTTCTGCGATACTCACTCGTACTTGCGAAATGAGCCGCGGCTGACATGCACAACCCTTTCATTGGGGCCTTCGAGTAATTCTAAATAAATAAAACATATAAGTCAAAGTCTCTCTGTGCTGCACTCGCCATTCACTTTGATGAGCTTCTCACATTTATGAGGTGGGATCTGCCAAAGAAGCTGTCTAAGTCCTTCATTTTCAGGAAACTGATCCTCTACACCGAAAAACAAATTGGGGTTGTATTGTTCTCTACGTACTGCTTCTTGCAAGCGGGTCTCCTGGAACGAGTCAGTCAGGGCTAAAGCTACGTTTCTAGAGCACCGGTGACAGCTTTTTCACAGCACCACCTGGGAAGCCTCCCATCTATAACGAAGGGGTGGGACAATTGTTTTACATTGTCAACAAGAGGTCTGTCTCGTTGTAGTGAAGCACATTCTCTTTCGATACCGCTTTTTTTGTTACACAAGCTCCTCTGTCTCATGCGTTCTTTTTTTTCTGAGTTCTATAGCACATTGAAAACCACTAGAAAGCTCTCAATGCAGGACACAAAGCTAGAACTAAAGCATTAGGTCATAGAAGGTTTGGTCATGTCTGCGAAAAGTATTTTTAGTTGAGCCTAACGCTTAAGGCGTGTGAAAGCGTAACACTAGCAAAGGCGCGATGAAAGAGAGGCAAATGTCGCAATAAGGCGCCTAGTTCCGGAGAAAATAGAGATGGGCAGAGCAGGTACAGAGGAAAGCTGGATATTATCACCACTGTTATTAAATGTGACTCTAATTGTACTGCAGGCCACGCTACAAGAAACTGGGAAACTTAATCTTACTCTATTGCCACGTGCGTTTACAAGAAGCTCGAGTGGAATGCGCCACTGCCTCCCATATCGATTAATTTTTCTTGCCTAAAATAAACAGTAGTTGCTCGCCAGCCTGAAGCCAGAATGTGTCGCGATGCAAGAGCCGCATTCACCCTGTCACCCCCCCCCTCGCCCACAATCTGTCTCTCACTGTTCGCTGTTCGGTCTCGTGGTGGCTGCCATCCTCGAGTTTTTTCTTCTATAACATTAAGGCATAAGTTTGCCCAATAAACAATCCTTCATTTTGTTTTCACAGTGTTTCCACTTTTGTACGGTAGGGCGCCGACCCGCTCGCCGTCACCTGCATGCAATTTCCTGGAAGTGCGGATGTTTAGGACACTCTCGTCAAGCCGCGACACCAGCCCAAGTGCCTCTGAGGGGTAGACGTGAAACAAGCTGGGCTACCACATGTGCTATGCCGCCATTGACTTTGTTGGGTATATACGTGAACTAAACATGGCAGTGTAAGCCAGCGCCACCACCAGCTATGGCGGCAAGTTTGGAACACTCTTTATCAGCCTGTTTCGCGTCACGTAGCACGTGAACTTATTGCGCGCTCGCAGCTGACCGTTAATCCCTCGCATAGTACGTAAAGGCACCAGATCTGCCAGAACAAGACCGTGGTTATTGAATGATGGAAGGAAGTATATACTCAAGAGGTCGTTTTTTGTTAGACACAATAATAACAAGATCTAACAGACAAAAATGCAAGGAATGTATATGGGAAGTTAATATTTTTTTATTTGAATGGAAAAATATACGTTGCCGTGGGTAGTATATATAAAGAGAATAAAAACTTTCGTTGGTTTGGTACTGTATACAGCACCATAACATCAAAAAGAATCCTTTCCATGATCAATTCTTTATTTTATCGCGGTCCAGGTAGTAATTTCTCTCTCTCTCTTTCTCTCTCTATATATATATATATATATATAAAAGGGAAATGAGTATATACCTAAGGACTCGTTTTTCCGTGTTTTAACACAATATTAATGAGATCTAACAGACAGTAATGCCAAGGAATGTACAGGAGAAGTTATTAGGAACCAATGGAATGTAAATAAGAAGAAAGAAAAGTCACTCCCACTTCTAAATTCACATATATATTCACATATAAACCCAAAAAAGTGGATGGAGGGAAGGCAGCTGTGGTAGCTCAGTGGTTAGAGCATCGAACGCGTTATTCGAAGGTCGTAGGTTCGATTCCTGCTCATGGCTGTTTATTTTTTTATCCACTTTTCTTTCTCCTTCTTTACATTCCATTGGTTCTAATAACTTCCCCTGTACATTCCTTGGCATTACTGTCTGTTAGATCTCATTATATTGTGTTAAAACACGGAAAAACGAGCCCTTAGGTATACACTTCTTTCCCTTATTTCATTGAACGAGGGTCTCGTACTGGCAGACTTGGTGTGTTTAGGTTGCATAAGAGGGACAATTAATCAGCTGCCCGCTCATATTAAGTTCACGTGCTACGTGACGCCAAAACATGCGCATAAGAGTGTTTTCACACTCGTCGTTTGGCTTATAGATGGCGCTGACTGTCACTCCTACTTCTAAATTCACATATAAATCCAAAAAAGTGGATGGAGGGAAGGCCGCTGTGGTAGCTCAGTGGTTAGAGCATCGAAAGCGTTATTCGCAGGTCGTAGGTTCGATTCCTGCTCACGGCTGGTTATTTTTTCATCCACTTTTCTTTCTCCTTATTTACATTACATTGGTTCTAATAACTTCCCCTGTACATTCCTTGGCATTACTGTCTGTTAGATCTCATTATATATATTGCCGCGTGCATAGCTGCATTTAGCGGCGAGATAGCGACGACAACGAAGAACGCGGATTTGCTCGAAAGGCGCAGCGCAGCAGAGTGAAGAAGACGACAATCTTAGCGGCCTTCTCTGAGAGCGTCTCTACAAGTCCTATTGTCCGTGTTTTAAAATAAACCCCCTGTCATTTATAACCCGCGACACTGGTGGAGGAGCTGGGTACTACCACCTCATGATCAGCACCCCTGTGAGAAGCCCCGAGTCCAGCCCTACGAGACAGTCACGCGTGGAGACGCCTGTGCACCGCTCAAGCCGTCGCCTTCAAGGTCTTGAACCAGAATTTGGCCTTTTAAAGGGAGCAAC